TCAAATGACACAAGTTAAAAAAAAAAAATCATCATGGCAAAACCCCATGTGAGCTACAAGAAAACACCTTCTTGGGGCTTGGCTTTCCAGGAACTGTATACACGCATCTCGTATGATCTTTGAAACCATCCAGCTCTGGCAAGAAAGCTCTCTACAACACTTCCTCTGTCCCAGCTCTGGGGAGGTCTCATAACTGATCCTGAATCCTGGCTGTGGTTAATATGAGCAACCTGTCAGCCTGAATCACCAGAAACTGCCCCGCATCGAGAGGCGGACACAGTCTTTCCAGACGTCCAGCCAGAGAGCTGCACTTCTTGTGCTGGTTCCAGAAACCTGCCTCCTAAAGCCACCAGCTTTTACATCCTGAACTCCCGGGCTCTCCCAGTACAACTCTGCTCCTCTGTCTAAATGCTAACGGGAGATCTGTTCCCAACCCAAAAACCTCCCACCCCCTGCAACCAAAAAAACTTCACAAAACACCAGCAAAAAGGACCTCATGCCCACAGAAGAGCCAGCAGCGGCTTACATCAAATTGCACACAAACATACCAAGGAATCCCTTGGAGGTGTGCAATTGCACGTTTCCTTCACACCATGTGCTTCCTATCCAAAACAAACACAGAACAGCAGCTGAAGGCAGGGCTGCGCCTGTGTCGTGTTGCTAGAATGTTTCCTCTACTGCTTGTGGTTTTTTTAAATGCAGTTTTAAGCAAAAAGAGAACTTTTTGGTACAACCCATGAGATGGGTTGAAGACTGTCAACTGGTAACTCCCACAGGAAGCCTACGGATCCTGGGTGGCTCTTTTACAGCGGTGCCAAGTCCATGTCTGAGAGGTTCACCCCAGCCCAGGCTAAGTTGCTCCAGTAACAGTGACTGTGAAAAATCAGGGCCCGTGCTTCTAGTCTGAGGTTGAGAAGCTTCAGCTTCTGGCCTTTGCTGATGCTTCTTCTGCTCCACCAGAAATACCTCTCTCGCCTATTTAAGGGCACACCACTGTCCCATATCACCTTTGTAACCTTTGGACATTAATTGACACATTAATTCCACACTAATAAATGAAGTTCAGAGTGCAGTACCAACACTTGGCATGCCATAGGTATCCTTTGCACGAGTGTTTTGCACCAATGCTCCAGATATAGGGCTCCCGCCTCTTAAGCCCCACGCCTACATATATATTCTCCGAAGCAGCCTGGGGCTCAATTCCTTCACTCCAGCCCTCCATGACCCTTCAAGCCCCATCTACAGGTTCCTTGCCCCAGGAAGGGAATTTTTACTCATGTGAACTTAGAGAGATTTAATCTGTACAAAACAGGTACAACTTTTACAACACGCACCCTTCACCAAACACCAAGAAGGAAGGAACACCCTGAATGCAAATAGAAAACAGGTCTCATGCCTGGCAGGTGTTGACGGAAAGACCAGCAAGAAAGGAAGGGGCCAACAGAGCACCGAGTGTCACCGAAAAAGGCAAACTGGAAGCAGTCTTTCCTTCTTCTCAACCCTAGAATATGGGCTTGGCTGGCATAAAGGACAGCAGGTCACAGCCCAGGTCTGAGGGGCCAGAGCCTATGTCACATCTGATTAGGTTTGGTGAAGGGGCCAAGAGTGGTACCAGCCATAGGACCTGCGCTCCCTGCTAATCCGGAGGGGGCTGTTCCCACAAAAGAGATGGGACATCTGGGCAAGATAATGATTCCCCGGCAGAAGCAGGAAGGACCTGCGCCAGCAGCGTGCAAAGTCATCGACTTGAACGCCCTCCAGCCTCATCTTCCACCTGTACTGTGGAGATTTCTAAGAGAATGGCTGAATGAAATGGGGATGGAAATGAGAGTAAGCACCAAAAGACACAACAGGAAAAAAAGGCTGAAAGAATGGCCTGCGCTGGTAACAACAGGCATGCTCCCAGGACAGTGCTCCCAGCAGTAAATTTGAGGAACATGGTGTTTCCATCAAAATCGGAAGGCTGCACTCTAAGGCTCAGCACAGACAACTCGTCAGCTGAGGACCCTCCATCCTTACACCAAAAGGATGGCAACAAGGAATGGCACAGCACATCTGTTTCAAACGTATTTCAATCAAGGGAAAAAAGACGGTGAGCAGCAGCCCACACCCTAAGATTTATGAAGGCTCAAGTCAGCCAGATTCTGGGGCAAAGAGCCACTCTGGAACAGCTACAGGATATGAAAGACGTGTTCAAAAACTAGTTTATCATCACCAGCGAAGAAGGAAGTGACATAGTGAGGACTTAACAGCTGGCATCCCATCCTCTGCATCACACACAGCTGATCCTTGCCAGACCATTTGGACACATATCACTCTGCTCGTGAGGGAATGTGTAACTGAGTAGTATCAGCCTGCTCACAGATTTTGCACAGTAAGGCCACCTTGCCCCTTCTCACACTATTTTTCCACCAGCGCCAGATGAATCTGGGGACCTGTGAGACTCAAGGGGGGGAAATTCATAGACGTGGGACAGACTTACTGGCTACCAGGAGCTGGACCCTGTGCTCATGGTCTGTCTTGTTCAGCACTTCCTTGCAAGTGTAGTTGCCTTCGTCCTGTAGACGCAGCTCTGTGATGCGCAGAGAGCTGTTGTCAACCAGGGAGAAACGGATGTCCGGGGGGAAGGCGACCCTTGAGGAGAAGAGTGGGGGGAAAGAGTGCGGATCCCCTTGAAACCAGACCACCTCGGTTGCTTCTTTGGAGACATTTCGGCATAAAAGGAGGATGCTTCCCCCAACCTTCCCAAAGACCACTTCCTCTGTTCCTGCAAAACAGAAGGGACAGCTTTAGGGATCTAGGGGACCGGCACAGCCCCCTTCTGTCAGCAAAGACCTGGACATGTGATATATGTCAACCCTCTGGGGTGCTTGTTAGGGGGGCTCTTGTCAAAGGATCTCCGAGATGCATTTGGCAGCTAACAATGTTTAGTGCAGACACACGATCAGGAAGAGAAACACAGCTTAAAAGGCTCAACAGGAAAGCAAGGACAGGCTATTTCTGCCTGAGAGAGGAGGGCAACAAACAAGTGACCTGAAGGAGCCAGAGAAGAGCGGAGTTAGAGCACTAACGACGCTGGGTCACAGCAATGTCCATGGCTCACCCAACATTTTGCTGGACCACTTGCCCGAGTAGCCTCATCCCTGAACTGCTCAGGGGAGCGCACGGTACCGAAAAAGGAGACAAAACCTACCCCGATATCGGTAGCCATCGAGGAAGACGACACAACTGTTGATAACCCCCTTTCACCTTTCCTGCTTTCCCCTTCCCCTGCCAAACGGCACCTGGACCCTAGAGCCAACTCGAGGGTCCGCAGGTGTCCCCCCTTCTACCAGCCCCCTCAGCGTCTGCCCGGCTTGTTTTCAGAAGGGAATCTTGTTACCTTCAGCACACACACAAAAAAAAAAATCACTTTTTTAAAAAAGAAATCAGCATTAGGGCTGGCTGGGAAGCTCCCCTCAGGTGCGGGGCGGGCTGAGGTAACGCCGGGAGGGCTCTAATGGTCACCCACCAACGCTCCCTGCTCCCCTCCCCTCAGCCCCCGCTACCTGCGGCGTCCCGGCGCGGCACCAGCCTCCAGACGCAAAGGGCGAGGAGGA